TCATTCTTGAAATAATAACTTGGGTTTGGTTTTTCAGGCAACTCTACTTCACATTTCCATCACACCCTTTATTATTTCAGCCAGATCTATGGGGCACTTCAGTGTCCATTGTCAGGATGGGCCACAGTTTGTTATCCATCTGACTCCCGCAGGACATATCAGTTGCTTCCAAATTTGGGAAAATATGGATAAATATGCCAGTTTCTGTGAGGACATAGTTGTTATTCTTCTTTGGTTAGATACCAAAGAGTATGACTGTTGGATCTTGTGGTGAGAGTATGTTCGGTTCTGTACGAAACTACCGAGCCATCATTCAACATGGCTGTGACACTCTGCAGGCCCACCAGCAATGACAGAGAGTCGGAGCGGCTCACCATGCCCTGTATCCCAAGTCATGTCAAAAAGGAAAGATGGTGTCCTTCATGGGCCATGCTGTGTTCCGTTGCCCCCTGTGCCTACTATGTGCCAAGACCGTGTGGTTTCAGTCACTCTAGGTATAGGTGAATCTTTGTCTCCAAAAGTGATGAATATTTGGTACATCACTCCAAATATGCTCTTCAAAATGTTTTGCTCTTCCAGCTTTATTACATTTACTCAAAATTCTTAGAAGCAGCTTGTTTATTTCAAAAACATGTTGGGGTTTTGACAGGATTGAATTGAAACTGTAAATGTTATTTAGGGACAATTGGCATCTTAATTATTTTGAATTTTCTATCTGCAAACACACTGTATGGTATATCTCTTCCTCCAATCATATTTTCTGAGCAACATTTTATAACTTTATGTGGATAGATCTTGTACATGAAATTTCAGATTCATCCTAAGGTGTTTTCTCCTTGTTTTCATATTTGTCGTTTCTTTTTTCTTTCCAAACTGATTTTTTATTTTCCAGCTTCTCGGTGCCTGTATATTAACTAGTATATATATATAATTATTTATTTTATTAATTATATTTATTATATATACTAATTATATTTATTAATCTGTGTGTGTGTGTGTATAATTACAAATAATTGCATAACCTCAGAAAAGAACAGTGTGCCTTTTCTCAGAAGACCCAGGGCACTTGTGAGGCAGGCAATGGTGGTGAATGCGCGCTGCCATGATCCTCGCAGATGAAGCTTGGGAGGCAGTGAGGCCACACCATGATAATGTCAACTCTCATAGCACCACCCTCAGCCAGGAATCCTGTCCAGTTTCCAAAGCTGCACCGTGGGCCCTGGCAAGACCCCGGGGAAGGTCTTCATTCCCACAATACATAGGACTAGGAAGGTTCCAGTTCCTTCAGAAATTTCTTTGACTCCCTCCCCAACCCTGTATCAGAACTGCTCAGAACCCAGCACAGGGTTAGGTTCTCAGAAAAAAAAAAGATGGATGAACATTTGAGATCCTGGAGGGTCTGGTTTGCCTCAGCAAGGCCCTCTCACCAACCAGGGCCCCCTCCTCTGCCAGCAAGCCTGGACCTCCCTCTGGGCTCAGAATGTGCAGCAAAGGAAAGGGCATCACATATGAGACAGTGTCTCCTTCTGGCCTCACAACTTAAAGTGAGTCAGGAGAAAACACTGTGAGAGTGTGGATGAAGGCATTGCACCTGCCATTTCCAGAAACACCTCTTTGTCCTGCCACCCCAGGTATCACTGTCTCCCCACACATGGTGGAAAAAAAAATGGAGGTCATAGTCTCACCAGTCACCAGTGGTGACATAAATAACCACCTTCCCACCCACAACCAGAAAGATAATTCCCAGCTCGACTGGAAGCTCCCAGGTGGGGCTGTGAGGCTGCTGCAAGGACCACCAGGCTGTGCCACTGTGTCTTCTCCAATGGGTCCCACTGAGGTCAGTCCAGGTTTGAGGATCTGCCTGCAGGCAGAGGCCCCACAGCCATTCCCTTTGCAGTTCTGTTGGGAGGACACCAGGGCTTGAAGGGACCTGGCCCTGTCAAGGGCACAGATGAGAATCTTGCTCTGTCCTCCTCCTGGCGCCTTCCTCAGGCCATGAACTGCAACAGTCGGAGAGATTGCCACACCATGGCCTTTCTTTCAGTGACACCCAGCTAGGTGCAGGGGCCAGCAGTGGACAGTGGTCCCACACCAATTACCTGGCCTGGTGGGGCTCTTGGTTTTCCTTAGAAGTGGTGATGTGCCCTGCCCCAGCCATGGATGTATCTGACTTAGAGGACAGTGCACATGTGTTTAGCTGGGGCTTCACCAGAAAGAGGCAGAGGAGACCTGGCTCCACACCATGCGTGGAGTAGTGTCACCAAGCAGAAACTCTCCCCTAAGACTCCCTTTCCACAGAGGTCATGTGTCATGAGCCATTAGTCTTTGAGAAATCACCCCTGCAGTCTTCTAGAAGGAAGAACTTCTATCCACCCACCTGGGCACTGGGGGTAGAATGGTGCCAACCCCTCCCCTGGCAGAGAAGCTTCCTCAGTTCTCCATGCTCAGGTTCAAGGCACCTTCATCTGTAAGTGAAATGCAAACCCAGACCTGTTTCCTTTCCACAGAGTGTCCTCCCAGGCAGAAGCAACTGACATGCACCCCTGCTGCATTCAGGGTTATTTGGAATCCTAGGGCTGGGATCATGTGTTACGTGTCTGACTCAGAAGCACCTGCCATGGGACCACAGGAACACGGGGACAGCCACTACTGTCTCTGTTGTCTAGATGTGTAACTGGTATCAGTGTTGAGTGAAGTAATTACTTAATTAAATCCAATCAATTAATATGGGCATACAGGTTCCAGGATTGATGAAAGATCCACATGCTCACACCCAGGGGTCTACCACTGAGCACCGTTGTCTATGTATTTGCCTTGGGTCCAACTAGCCCCAAGCAGAGGAACCTGGGGCCATGTTTGAGCGGGCTGTGTGCATCCAGGGCCTCATATCAGTGAGCAATGCTCAGGAAATTTCAGGTGTGCCTTCTTATTTAAGTGTATCCACACACAGGGGGCTGCAGTGTCTGCTCAGTCAGTCTGACCAGGAAAATGCCTGCTCTTTCCTCTTCTTCTTTCTCATGATGAGTCTTTCATGGGATCCATGATTGGAGACCTGAAGGTGCACAGCAGTATTTACAGAGGTAAGAAGTCATTAACCTCATTGTGTTTTGTTGTTGTTGTTGTTGCTGCTGTTCTCAGGAATCCTGTCCTAGATGAGCTGCAGGAGTCAGGCTCCAAGGAGGTGCAGGCCTGGCAGACCCTCTCCCTCCCCTGTGCCACCTTGGGGCAGTGTCTTCAGCAACAGTGCTACTTGGAGCTGGCTCAAGCAGGCCCCAGGGAGAGGGCTCTAGTGGCTGGGAAGGACACGCTACAAGTCCAAATGGTAAAACGATTACATACATCTCTTAAAGGTTGGTCAGTCATTGACCCAAACACATGCAGCAACCATTTCTCCCTAAAGCTGAGCTTCATGAGCACTGAGGACACCGCCATGTGTCACTGTGCTACAGACACCATGAGGAGGTATCACCTTGACCCCGGACCCAAACCTCCATGCAGGAAACAGGAGGGCTGGGCTGCAGTGTGTGCTATGGACACCAGGGGGTACTCAGGAGCCAGAGATCTGAGCATCCACCCCAGGAACAGGTGTAGGATGAGGCTAAGACTTTGGTGACCACATAGTGTGGGGTTTCCTCTTCACATGTTATTTGCTCCGGCATCTTTTCCACATTCAGGATTGGGATACCAAGGCTACTCAGCAGTAAATGGCAACTGCCAGATCTCACTTGCCATCACCTCAAGAAGCAGTGGTTATTCCTGTATGGAAATAAGGCCCGATGATGGTGGTGGCCATTGTCCCAGTGACATGTATACAATACTGTTGTCTGTGGCCCCTGTGCAAACTCAGAGTGACTCTCACCTAAAGGAGCTTCAGAAGTGGTTCTGATGATGCTCACACAGCCAGGGATAAGGTGAAGCTCCATTCTGACATTGTCTAGGTCTCAGGAGAGCATGTCACGCATCTCCAGCAGGTGTGAAATGACTTCTGAGAGCTGAGCCAGAAGCCTGGCTTAGAGTTTGTTGTGGTCAGAGAATGAGAGCCAGGGAGCATTCTCCTGCTGGGTATGGATTTTTTAGATTGACTGTCCCAACTGGGGAAAAGGAGCGATTGCCCAGGATTTCTTTTCAGCATGTACAGATGAGGAAAGGCATGGGTAAAGACCGTACATTTTGAAAGTTATCTGTCAAAGGTAATATTATTTATATCTGTTATTTTCCGTTAGTTGGTTGCACCAAGGTGTTCCATAATCAACTTTCTAATATTTCAAAATACCTTTCAATTTCTACGTACATCTTCAAGAAAGCAGACAGTAATGATTAAGGGTTTTGTTTGTTTATTTTGTTTTTTGTTTTCTGTTTCAGGAGTGTTTGAACTTAGTTTTACCATTGAGTCTGGGGAAGAAAACCAAAATTGAGGTAGCAAGGCTGCTGTATATTCAGCACCAAATTCCACTGAAGGAACATGACTCAGGACCACTGTCTGCTTCTCTCTAGAGATCACACTTCTGTCTCCCAATGATCCATACAGATGTTTCAACTCCTCCAACTCTGGGTTTATAAACTCCAGGGTCACACTCTGTTCTTAGTTCATATTCTGATTACTTTGTGAGGAAATAGGTTGAGATGTAATTTCCCATCACCTGATATTGAATCCCCTGCACTATTTATTCTCCTTCTGGTCATGAGTGTTGAATTTTCTTGGTGGGTTACTTACTGTTGATGCTCAAAGGCCTTTCTCATTTTAAATCACTCTAGTTTATTACAATTTACTTTCCAGGTTTATGTATCCTACTCCTGCAGTTGTTGAGGCAGTGAAGATATTCTAGGCTCAAATGTGAGGAGTAATTCTTGACAGAGAAGGGACTTAGATATGTCACACTCTGGTACCATGTACTCCTTGTCACCGTCCAAACACAGAGCTCCCTATATACTAGGAGGATATGCAAATAAGGCTCCTGTACTCAATAAAAGCAGCCCAGTTCCACCCTTGCAGCGTTGCGACAGGAGCACAGCCTGAGAGAGGTTTTACCAGTCTCTTATCGGGACAGAACACAGCCCACTCACCATGCAGTTTGGGCTCAGCTGGGTTGTCCTTGTTGCAATTTTAAAAGGTAATTTATGGAGAACTAGTGACACTGAGTGTATCAGTGGATATGACTGAGAGAAACAGCGGACAAATGACAGTTCACTGAGAAGGATGTTTTTGTGTTTGCAGGTGTCCAATGTGAAGTGCAGCTGGTGGAGTCTGGAGGTGGCTTAGTGAAGCCTGGGGGATCTCTGAAACTGTCCTGCGCTGCCTCTGGATTCACCTTCAGTAGCTATGATATGAGCTGGGTCCGCCAGGCTCCAGGGAAAGGGCTGGAGTGGGTCTCAGACATTAGTAGTGGTGGTGGTAGCACATACTACGCCAGCTCTGTGAAGGGCAGATTCACCATCTCCAGAGACAATGGCAAGAACGAGCTCTACCTGCAAATGAACAGCCTGAGAGCTGAGGACACGGCCGTGTATTACTGTACCACAGACACAATGAGGGGAAGTCAGTGTGAGCCCAGACAAAAACCTCCTTGAAGGAGAAAGGAGGGCTGGACTGCAGGGGGTGCTCAGGACACCAGGGGGCACTCAGGGCACACAGAGAACAGGCAGCAGCTTCAGAGCAGCTGCAGCTGCAGTTTAAGGCTGGTTTCCTGACAGGCGTGGAATTAATTCTCCCCACAGCAGTGTCCCTCTGGGAGCCTCCCTCCCTTCATGATTCTGTGCTGATCTCTTATGTATCCGAACTACAGGGGCTTTTTGTCACAGGAGGAAAACATTCTCACATGCTCCAAGTCAGAGAGTCACATACATTTGCTTACTTCTATCCTAATGAGATACCAATAATTTTCAAACCTACTGACCTACAGCAGCTGAGTTCAACCAATTGGTGGCTCTGTGGGTCCCAACAGTGTGGCAGCCCCACCTATTTCAGAGTCCAAACAAGTTAGCAAAAGGACACATGCATGATGGGCAGCAGGCACCAGGGGCATATGACCCCAATGCCAGAGGACAAAGGCCCCTGTTGGTGGTGGTCATTGGATTGGCTCCATGTCCATGACACCAATAGCAGTTGATATCATGTGGAGATAGATGTACCCACTCTATTCCTTGGTATGAATGCTTAGAGTGATGATGTCACACACAGAGGGTCCATGAAAAATATATCACTACATTGAGGAGTCTGTCAAGAGCAAGGCAGATTTTTCTTCAAATCAGGCATGGGTGGATCATGCCTGGTAAAGAGTCTGGTTCTGGAACTTATTGTCCATCTGTGGGAACTTTGGGCAGCGTCCTGCTCACAGGAGAGGTTTGTGTGATTTCAATCACCCAGCCACTTTAAATTAGGGGAAATCCTCACTTTGACTTCAGATTTCCCATGTGTGTGCAGGAAAATAGAGAGAGGTGAAACCTAACATGTCAGCATCAAACATAAAATCTAGAGCCTGTCTCTTTATTTCACTGAACACCTAAGATACATGAGTAAGAACACAGAGCTACCAACTATTATGTGTAGAAAACTTTTATTCCCTAGAAAAGTAGAATAACAGAATATATATATATATATATATATATATATATATATATATGTATATATATATATATATATATATGTATGTATTCATGCAATAAGGATAAAATAATAAATTATATGTACAGCTCAGTTCAAAGTGTAATATGTAACTTGTCTACTCTACAATATCACCAGCTAGTTCTGAAGGACTTTGGTCCCTCTTCTGATCCCTGGACTAGGAAACTTCTACCAGATTACAAGAATCCTCAGCTTGGAAAGCTCTCCTAGAATAGCCTTCCAACTTGGTGGAGTTATGATATGATTATTTTGTTATTATGTGCAGTTGCTGGTGTTGCTCTAAGACTCACATGTGAAAACTGGAGGTCCAAGTGGTGGTGTTAGGATGTGGGATCTTGGGATGAGCTTCGATCCTATGATTGAGCTCTCATGCACAGGATTCAGGTCCATATAACTGTGGGGAACCACCCTACCTGTTATCGTGGATAGTAGCCCCATGTGAACAAGGTCAAACCTTTAAGACTCAACTGAAAAACTAGGAATGCTGGCCAGCAGGTATGAACCAATGTGGGCACATGCAATCCCCCAACCCCAGAGAAGTCAGGTTGAAGACAAATAATGCATTATTTCCTTTGAAGACTGCCCTGCTAACAATTATGTCTTCTAGGTAATCAAGTTAACTTACACTGAAATTTTAGTTACCACACACAAGGTTGTCATGACCTAGTGCCATGCTGTCTAACAGGCCCTGACTTAAAAATACCCCTATGTTCTTGCAATAGTTACTTCTGAAAAATATCTATTCTTCTTTCGTCAATATTATGAGACAGTGATTGCTGGGGTTTACATGCATGCCATGTGCTCCTTTACCTACTGATCTAAATATAAACTTAAGAAAAAAGGAGATCAGGGCCCTTCTCCTCTAAGGGATTGGCCAGCCTTTTTTCCCCATGGATATCATGTGTTGGTTGATTTGTTTCATCTATGGCTCCAGGGGACATTGCAGGTCAAGTTCCCCCTACAATAACAAAGGACTGAGGAAGCTGCCTTGTTCAATTCACACTCTGAGAGTAGAGCAAACCAAGAGCCAACTAGTAAGCAAGTTCTTACCAGACATCAAATCTGCTGACACCTATTCATGGATTTCTCACTTTCAGATATCTGAGAAATAAGTCTATTTTATTGGCCAATGACCCAGTGCACAGTAATTTGTTACAGCATCCAGAACAAAAAGTGGCATTGTAGTATAACATGACCACAAGGACTGACTTCCTGGTGATTTGCGGCCCTATTTGTTGTGAAATGTACAGCATGAGTTTGTTTACAGTGATGTTCAAGGGCAGTTTTTCTCTCACCTTTTCTTCCACAGACTAATTTTCCTGGTTTAACATCACAGGAGCCTCCTAAACATGTAACAGGAACCAGCATTAGAAGTGGGTAAAATCCATAAACCCTTTTGTTATTTACCACATAATCATGGAGGCAGTTCCAGTTTTTGCTGGAGGTAAGATCAATAAATTAATAGTACTGCTAGTTATCACTTCACAGGACCATGGCTGATGTACTCTGTTGGCATGGACATTAGCACCACACAGGAGGGCAGTGGACCAGGGGGTTTGAGGGTTTATTTAGGTTTTATCATTTTACTAAACATGATATATGTTTCACACTTCCCAGAGATCGAATATAATAATGACAGTGTGGCATTTGGATCATAGTAACCTTTTACAGAATAATTATTATTGTAATATGTGCATCTCAGCTACTTGCCGTGATAGTCAGTAAGCCATTGGTGAAGTGGGGGAAGAGGTTGAGAACAGGTGGTGCCCAGGGGAGATGAAATGCTCTGCATGTGGTTATCCCTTCTTGCCACAGTCTTTATTGATGCTGATGGGCTCTCTGTGTGCAGATTGACAATTGGCAGGGAACCTGTCCTGAAAGCACAAACAGCAGCCCTTGCAGTGCCCAGAGCACTCAGCCTTGGGTGGTTGATGGTGGGAATGGAGTTCTTGATGTGTGTGGACAGAAGAAAGAGTCATGCTATGTATTTATTCTGAGCTCAATAGCATGAATTACTGCGCGTTGACACTATACATTAAATTATGTTAAACTGACCAATGGTAGAAATGAACAACAGCAATAACTACAGCACACAGACTAACCAGCTTCTTTTAAAACTCTCCACTATCACAATGAGGTTGCTTGTCCACCCACGTTGAGTGGAGACCTCATCCATGGACTTCACTTCTCTGCCCATAAGGGGAATAGCACATGCAAATGTATATATGAGGAGCTTTAGTTTCACGGGACCAATATCCTTGTCTCAGCCCCTCATCATCATCATCTTTCTCATCTTCATCATTTGCTTACTTATAAACATACTTTTCATTTTCTATACACATGGTGGTTGTCCACACATGATGACTCTTCATCTCATCTCTGTGCATTTTTTATAGTTGTTAGGTGGAATAGGCAGTCAGACTCTATTTTCTTTCATGTTTCACTGCTGACAAGTGATGATTTATTCCTGTCTCCTCTCCATCTGCGCCACATTGGAAATCTGATAAGGAAGTCTGGTCTGGCCTGGTCTGGAGTGGATAGATTTTATTAGAGGCAAAAGGTCACACACCACAATATACTGCATCTATGAAAGGCAGATTCACCATCTCAAGAGGTGATTCTAAAAGCACTGCCTTTCTGCAAATGAACAGCCTGAGAACCAAGGATGTATCCATGTATTACTGTGTGAGAGACACAGAGAGTGGAGTCAGTTTGAGCCCAGACCATAACCTCCATGCAAGAGACAGGGTAAACACCAGGGAGTGCTCAGTGCCCACAGGGTCTGTTGACACAGAGCACATGGAGGTTAATTAAGGTTTGGTTTCATCTCTGACAGGGAGCTTCCTCTTCAGCTGACATTCAACATTCAGGTACCTAAAAAATATTCAGTACAATGAGTCTAAAATGGTCATTTCAACTCTATCTAAATGCATTGGGCATTTTCACATTATCTCTGAGTAAGAACTGTTTCCCTAAATAGCTCTGTTTGTCTGTTGGATTTTGTGTTAGTTTGACTAGATCACAGGGTACCCAAACATTTGGCTGATAGTTATCTGCAAGCTTTCCCAAGCATGTTTTCATATGAACGTACCTTTAAAATGATGGCTCAAAAAAGCAGATTCTACCCCCCAGTAGTGGAAGGGCACCCTTCACTTTACTAGGGTACTGACTAAAGAAAACTGAAGAAGGGAAAATTAAGGCCTTCCCGCCTTTGTGCTGGATTCTAGAGCTGGGACATAGGTGTTCTTCTGGCCTGGGCACCCTGGTCTTTGTCCTTCAGAGCAGGAAGGGTAATGACAATAGCTTCCCTGGGTCTACTGCCTGAAACCACAGGTCATGGACTTTGGGACATTTCACTGTCTGTAATAACATCATCCATTCTAAATTAATGCAAATTTCTATATGGAGTCAGTGAACAAACAAGAGGATCATATTAATTACTGTCATGTTAATCTGCAAAGTTTTTACTAATATTCCCTGTGCCCTAGACCCGTGAGGCCCATTGAAAATACCAGAGCCTCATGTAGCCTCAGGGAAGATTATTCAGGATGGATAAAGTAGTACTGCATGGTGTAAGAGCTCACCAAGGCAGCTTCAGCTGACAATGGTGACAACAAGACAGAGAATTCGGGTCCTCAGTGATTGATGTTGCAAATGATTTTTCTCCATCTTCATCTTGTACAATAACCATCTTCAACTTACCTTCATGTGGAAAAGATTATGATGAACATTTTCTGAAATGATGGAGATTTGTTTGATTCATAAGATTACTATGAGCATTTGCTTAGCAAGAACACTTGCTTGATGCAGCTCCAATGTGCTAACATTTTATGATAACAAGATCTACATAGAGGGTAGATATTCAGTGACTTAAATGACATTGTCACACACATAATTGACACATACTTGATATTGATAAATCCTGCACTGATTCATGATCCTAAAA